GATAAGAACTTCACTAGGAATGAAAACTGCTCCTGCATCCCGTAGCCCTTCCCTCCATCGCTAACCAAGGCTTGTGTTAAACATTTATAAAAAACATTTATAATAGAAGTGCTTGTCTGGTTCGAACGCACTAAACGCTCAGCACCACCATGCCTCTCCTTGTTGAATTGACCCCTTCTTGTTGAAACCCGCTTTTTTCCTGTATTCACCCAGACACTTTGATAAGACTCATTTACCATTTTCAGCTGCTTTCTTGTGTTGCTAATCCACAGTTGCTCGCTAGCTACCCGCCTGATGTTGCTGATCGTGCCAAGGTGAGAAGGCTTCTTGTTTTCCGACTAAGTAAACCTGAATCCTGGAGTAACAACCTAGAGGACGGTATTATAGGATCCCCGTGTACTTGAGCTATCAGGGCAGCATTCGCCAAAACTTCAAAAATAATTATTGTTGTTAAGGCTATTCTTACGTGTTGCGGCGGATTTGGTCCTGGCGCTTACAACCACAGTCAAGGAATAGAAGTCGTTCGTAGACATATAGCCGACTTCATCACGGTTGGTATCGGCTAATCATCGAATACAAATTGGATATCAAAAATTTTCTCAAATTTCTTGTTGCCTTGCCAGGCTTCACCGATTAAGCGACGTTCATAGTTCAAGATCGCATATGCGTTCCTGCCATTAAAATATTACATAGGGAGAATGTAAGCATTGATTAGGCGAATATGGAGTACTCAAGTAGACGGTTAGGCGATTGTGAGTAAGATTGCATGCGTATCGATTTGGTTCGCCCCGCCCACTAGGCGGTCGCCTAATCGCCTGCTCGTACATTCGCCTAATCAATATGTACCTTTCTAGCCTAGTCGTATAATCATCGTGGATTCTGAACAATACCTTAGCCTTCTGATTTAAACCCCTTCCAGAAACGTGATGGGTTCGACAGCGAGTATGGAAATATTGTTATCAACAACGGTGCTTCTGAAGCCATTCGTAACGTACTGGAATTGTTTGTCAATCATGATAAGAAGAAACGAGTTGGAGTGATGGTGCCAGTCCCACTGTTTCCTTTCTTTGCTGCCACCCTCGACGAGTTTGGACTTGGGAAGGTTTGCAGATCTTTCTTCTTCACTTCATTTATAAAAGGTTGAGTGGTGATGATTTCGGCGTTAATCACTCCAATTTTGCGATGCTGTGAATCACTCCAATTTTGCGATGCTGATTTATGTTGGAGAAATCCATGTTGGTTTGAGTGCAGCAAGTCTGGTTCAATGAGGTAGTTCGTTAATGAGCAGTGTACGATGCGCTGCATAATTTCGGGTGTCTGGCAGGAGGCCCGTAAGCAGGCAGAGTCAGCAGATCAGTCATGCTCTCACTCCTATCGCGAATGAGAGTGGCAGCGTGTGATGTGCGATGGAGGACGAACAATGGTGCGTTCTGTTCAACTTTACGCGAAATCACCATAGTGCGCATTGCAACTCGTCCGCCCTGTGCCTTCTTGCCGCGCGACGGGCCTCCTGTCAGGTACCTGTGAACTTTGCATTACAGTATACTAGGGTAATCAGTCAACACTCACCAGATGTTCATAAAATGGGGCGGTGTTGGAAGCAGTGGCAAGTGGTTTTTACAACAATCGTGCCCCTAGGACCAGTTACTGGATCAAATGTCGATCAGACCAAATAACAAGCCCTCCCCGTAATTTATCTCGGCTAGCCTCCCCCAAATTATTGTACAGCCAAATCGTATGCGAATATCTACGATCCCAAATGGAATCAGACTTCGTGGCATTTTTAGGAAAAGGATTAGTTAACTCCAGAAGTTACTTCCATTTATCCTTGAAACGCTGTGCTGCCTATCATTTCTTTCTTTGTATATTTAGCGCAGTATTTTTATTAATAGTGATTGGTTTTCGATTAGGTGGAATACCAGCTCGACGAAGAGAAAGGTTGGAGCATCGACGAAAAGGAACTGGATCGAGCTTACGACGACAGTCACAAGAAATATGACACTAAAGTCCTAGTCGTGATCAATCCTGGATGTCCAACTGGTCAAGTGAGCTTCAACGATGTTCTTTTCATACCAAGGGTTGGAGATGCAGTGATTTCATTCAGTAATTCTAGGGCTATGGTACTCAAATGTAAGATTGCTGCTCGATTATCTAATCTAAAAAATAACACTATGGTCCATCAAGATTCTAAAAATTCCATTACTTTCTATTTCAGCTCCTTTCACGCGAAAACATCCAAGCTATCGTCAAATTCGCTCATCGTCACAACCTCTTTATCATGGCCGATGAAGTGTACCAGGCAGGCAGAAATTTGTCGCTAAAACGGCAACTGCACTCGGCGATCTTGCGTTTGGTAGTCTGTGATCACATATATTCGGCATCTTCATTGTGGTCGCTTTCTTTAACCCTTTGACGACAATGCGGATTTGCACGTAGCTTGCTCGTGGGACCACGCCTCTTTTTGGCGCGCCCAACTCTCGCTCACAATTGGGCAAAATTGTCCTCAAAGCAGTTTTTCTGTAGAATTTTGACTTTAACAGTATACCAGTTATAACTGCAGTTCTAGGCTTTCATACTGTAAATTATTTTCAAGAGAATTCCAAAAATTTGGACGGGGAACTCGCGTTTCAAAGGGAAGGAGGGCAAAACCTCTAAAAGTTTAAGTGTCCCAAGAGAATTCCGGTACATCTTACCCTATCCGAAGGCTATGAGAAGACGAAGAAGTCCTGATTAGTAATTAATCTTCGGCCTAATAATTTAAAACCCCAATTAATATGGTGGCGAGCTAAATGGCACATTCTAAAATTCTATATAAATTAGCTCTTAGTAAACATTTCTGTAAGTCGTGCTAGCCATAGATATATGGAACTTGCTTATGATTACTTGGATGTGAACAAATGTTTTAAACGCACAAAGAAGGAATTTTAAGGTGCGCCTACACCATTGTAGTGCCTATTGTCCCACGCGACGAACATAGTGGCACCCACCGGCGGTAGCCATTGTCGTCAACGGGTCAAAGGAACAGTCCCAGCAGGATTACTTGCCTTCGATACTGGTGGGGTGAAAATATGCGCTTGCCGTAGTCAAGAACACATGAAGAAATACTGAATAAAAAACTCCCTTTGAAAGTCGTCTAGAAGGGAATCGAACGCTGAAGTAGGAGGACTTACCTTTGCGAGCTACACAAACTTGCCAGTCGTGGAGAGCGCGTGATTGGCCGCGGAGGCATTTGCGGTCATTTCGGGACAACAGGGACTGTTTAAGCTAGGCCTTTGAAACAATCGGTGCAGGCTTTCCTGATTTTTTTTGCAGACAGACAACCACTTTCTCTTTCTGAAGCGGTAAAGGCATTTTTTCAAGGGAGGAATTGCTGACGTTCCCCGCTACTGCAGGTCTATTTGCCAGCAATGTGCAATTTGGGGCGCCATTTACTGCGGCAGTTCAGACACTCGTTCACGCGCCCTTCCTTCATGTGAGGGTGGCAAGAGGGGGAGTACTTGTTTCAAGCCTTCTTCAGCGTTTTTTGCTTTTTTCTTCATTATCAGACAGTTCTCCACCCTACTTCTTCATTATCGATCGTTTTTACCTCGCGACTTCGATCTGGAATTGTAGCTCTATAGGCAGACTACTGTGAGCGGAGCTTTCGTTCGCTTGAGATGTGCTGGGGACACCTCTGGCTGTTATCCTTCACCAACGTTTTTTCTGCTCTGTAGGCTTTCTCCCAACTGGGTTATCATTAGAGCGACACCCCCACATCGATTTTGTGGGATCACATGGTCGCGAATGAAGTTGTGGATGCCGAGCTGAAAATGAAAAAGAAGCAAAGAAAACCGTCGATGAAGCCTAAACAAGGATTCCCCTTGAAATAAGGAAGGGGCGGGGCCAGACGAGTTGTACGAACTTGCCTGCTCCACGGCTCAACTAACCCGCGCGTATTTGAATTAGCCGCTACGCCGTAATCCACGTTGCGTGTCATGGGGTGTGCGCGAAGTAACTCGTCCAAACGCTTACAAAGTCGCTGTAAGCCGACTTCGAGACTCTAGCACCATTCGCGCACTTTCGAGCAACGGCACGCCTCACCCACCACAGGTGGGTCTCCCTCATTCGACCTGGCTTATCAAGGCGCGCCTTTACCCCTTTTTCCCTAGTCTCCAGGCTGTGTTGGAACCAAATTCTTAATTTTCGCCTGGTGCGTGTCATCGCTACTGTGAGCAGGACTCCGCTTAGCTGACGTGTGTTTTAAACTTCTTGGGCGAGCACCTACTCATCGCACACTTGATCCAATTGCACCAGTTATATTCCTAAAATACCGAATTTTGTGACAGAGGGACAAGCAGACGGATAAGTAGACATAGGCAGAAAAGCGAATTACAGTAAGTAAGATAGAATAGAGCTGCTTCCGTGTACGATTCCTTTGAAAGCAAACCTCGGGCTAAAGCTGGTGTGTAGGGGAACTTCGTAGTGATGGGTGAACTGCGCAAGTTGAGCTGCGCAAAGAACTGAAAGTGGAAAGAAAGCAAGCGAAAACATCAAAAAGTAGGGGGAGGGGAATGAGAGCCTGAACTTCGAGAAACTAAAGTAAGGTCGGACGCGGTACGACGGAAACACAGTCCTTTTAGGGAAAGCAAAACACGCCAAAGAGCACACTTAAGAGAGCAATGATTTGTACATCAAGCGCAGTGGGTGGTTTTTGTTGCGATGGCCGCAAGTCCTTAACGATTAGTGCATTTTGTGTGACGAAACTGACACGCCCTCCGTAGGTACAAACCCAACAATTTACTCCGCGCATTTACTCGGCTACTTGCGCTTCTTCTTCATCTTATTCACATTCTCCACCAGTAAAGTCCATTCTCGGCTCCACTTTAGTGTGAACTGGACAACCAACGCTACCAAGTGGTGAGTGCGAGTCTCGAAAGCTCTACACATCTGCAGTGCTACTGTGCTTATCGTTCAAGGATAAATGTGCACGCCATCGATGCAGAGCTATCGATCTGCTTTCAAGCAGGTGATGAGGGAGAGTAGTGAAGTTACAAAGGTAGGTTATCGTACGCGTCCTACGGATCACTGAATGCAGTAGACCGATCAAAAAAATCAGGAGCCGGATGTTAGTACACTCGAAGTGGGTAGAGATTGGTTAAAGACAGTAGATGCGATGCTGATAGACAGCCGTTGGGTGAAACTCCAGTTCGGGGGGGCCACTCCATTTTTTCTCCAATACTCAAGATAAGGATTAGAGGGCTCACGACACGTAATCGACTCATTTAAAGTAGACTTCTGATAAATATTGGTGTAATGGGTGAGAAACCCTGAAACGTTTTCACATTTCCGCCTGCCATGACCCAAGGGAACGGTCCTGGACCAGGAGAAAGGACACCTCCGCAAAGGGCTAAGGGTGCAGGAGCTCCAGGGTGGATCACCTGTGCAGAAAAGTGGATGGGATGTGGGCAGGTAGTGTGGAATGTAGGACATCCACCGGTCCTTATCAAAAGTACGCTCGAAATGAGTCGTTCACTTATTATCTTATCCGTAGTGTTCGATAGCCCAAAGAACTGCTCTCTAGTACTACGGATAAGATAGCAATGGAGTGGCCCCCCCGAACTGGAGTTTCACCCGCAGTTGTTAATGACACATTGCCCCCCCCCTTGGTAGAAACGCGATGGGACAGTCGTGCCCACCTCCCACCGTCTTTTCACCAACGACGCCGGAAATGCGTCGTCAAATATCACTTCATTCATTATATACAGGGGGGGGGCAAAAAAAAAGACATTTTGCCTCCACTTCCAGATGGATTTAAGCACATTTTGCTCAACTCAGACCGAACGGTTCCAACTTATTATTAAAGAGTGCATTCCATTCTATAAGAAAATCTTCATGGTGGCCCACTACGTGGACGGCATCAGAAGAATTTGCCCTGGAAACATGGTGCACTGGTCGAGCTCAATGGGGTCTTCGAAGGATCGTGTACCATAACGACCCTTACTGGAAAGCTAGTTTCGAGGGATTTGCACAGTGGTAGCTAATGCCTCTAGAAAACTATCCAACATTAAATCGATTCACGAAATTGCGTAAGAGCTTCAGGCTGAAGCTCTTACGGTAGACCTCCTTGAGCCTGACGACGGTGACAGATGACGTCATATTCTGAAGACGGTGAGGGCAGTGAAGGAGGGCCTGCGTTCACTTATAGAGGGACACTTAGGGAATACTCTGCTGAGGAACTCCCGTCAACGACAGCAATCTCTGCGAAGAAAAAAGGGCCGAAGTCCAACATAGGCAAAATGTCTTTTTTTGCCCCCCTGTAGTTGGTCGTTTGTCGTGTGTGTGTCGCTTTTGGTCCATACGGACGCAAAACGTTAAAGAACCGGGGAGATTGAAGGTTACAGTTCGTGTCTTGCTGCTACGATTAATGATGAACACCCACACGAGCATATCACCACTGATAGAGCGCCGGTCAATCGTCAGTCTCATTCGTATGTGCTGCAGTAGCAGCTGGAGGGCGGGTAGAAGGGAGGGAGTAGGAAGGGGGAGGAGGAGGGGGGAGAGAGGGAGGAAAGGGAGGGAATGAGGAGAGAGGAGAAAAGGGATGGAGGACATGGTGCTGCATGGCAGCCGAAGGGACAAGAGACGAGGGTAGACAGAAGGGGCGTGGGGAGGATGCAGGGAGGGAGAACAACTGCGCTCAAGTTAAGGCTATATCCGTGTTGACGTAGTGCTCTAAAGTGATGCTGTAATTCTGATACCATCCACAATGGCTATACAAACACCGATCGAGCACACTCAGTCTCACTCTATTATACACAACTGGAAGGACCATAGCGAAGACGTGAAGCTTACGGAGGGAAGCAACGTCCCGGCGGTTGACGGGGGACCAATCTGGTGATACTATAAACAACGCGATTTGCAAAAATTGTTTCTTTTGTCCGGCCTTGGGCCCAACGGTCACTGTGTGATGAATCTCATGGTAGGCTTCTAGAAATCACCACTCCACTTTCAATCCTTTACGTTTTGTAAACTTTTCTGAAGAATGCTTTGCAAGTTTGAAGGCATGAGCTATCCAGGCTATCATCCCAAACTTAGTTCTTCCTAATAAGTGCTTCAGATTGGAGTTGGTCTCGTTCCACTCAATTTCGAAGGGATATATGGGTGAATGCGGTGTGCGCGGTGGTTATGCGGAATTCTACAATGTGGATCCCGAAGTGTTTGGATTGTATAAGAAGTTGATATCCGCCAAACAATTCCCGTCAATTCTTAGTCAGGTAAATGAGCAGTAGGTACATCAAGTGAGGAGGTAACTCTCAAAATAAGAAGACGAGTCAATCAAACAAGCTCACGCATCCTCCATTTTTGGAGTTATCTCCTCAGCTGAAGAATCCGCCTTTTATATTTTTTATGCTTCATTTTATGTTATCGTCATGACCAATTAGTGAACGCCTCTATCATGCATTTCCAACATGAGTGTTCTTACATCATTCTTATCAAACCCTTTTCTTTGAAGGCAGTGAGCGCGGTGGTTTGAAGGCGGAGTGATTTGTTGATGTCAGTGGGAGCCATTGGTGGACCAGAACCCTCAGCGCTGTGTTTCTGGTTGGAACCAACTCCCAACCCGTTTTAGCCAAGGACACCATGACGTCATCGAAACTGCTCCGCTTCTTCAGCCACCGTATTCACTGCCTTTAAGTTTACCCAATGCCGCATCATCACACACTCTCAAAGGCCCGCCTGCCTTTCCACTAGGTATATTTTCCTTGCGACTTTCGCCCCTACCCAGGAATCCTTCAAACTTTCAACCTTGTATTCATGATAACAGAAACTACGCCCGAGATGAGGACAACTCATACTTGACGCTACTATCGCGATATGCTACTTTTTAGGCAGCAGTGGATGCTCTTGTGAATCCACCCAAACAATCAGATCCATCGTTTGAACAGTGGGCACAGGTTGGTGGACAAGCTCAATGATTGCATTCACGGCTTAAAATTGCCATTATTCATTACAGGAGAAGAAAGCAGCTCTTCAAGGATTCAAGGCAAGAGCCGCTCTGGTGAAGGAAGCTTTCAATGGAGTGGAAGGGCTCACCTGCAATGATATTCAAGCATCTTTGTATGCGTTCCCTAGGGTACAAATGCCGCCTGGAGCTATCGAAAAAGCTAAAGTGAGCTATTTTGAAATGTAGTGAAAAGTCTCAAGGAAAGGCTATAGTGGCAAGATGCCGTCTACGTCGGGAGTCAAATCTGAAATCAAAAATGGCCCAGGTGATCCAAAGCTGCCATCACTGCGATGTAGGTTATTTCGTAGCAGACTTGTATAGGAGGGAACCACGCGCACCTCTACACTGCCGGCTTTTCCGGAAAGTTATTGCTTATTTCACTGGACAAATCACATTCAAATGCTACAAAGTTTTAGAACGGAAATACACGAATAAGTGTGAGCATATAGCCAAGAGAGCGACCACCTGAGAAGCAAAAATTTATCTTCTGTAGGGATCGAACCACAAGCCATTGTTTTCACATGTTTCTTGGCATTCTCAGAGCCGATCACGAAAAATCCCCATTTTCATGCTCCCGCGCCTGACGATAATGGCGGATCATAAAATTGCTATTCTTTGATTGTGCAAAAGAAGAAAAAGAATTCGAAGAAAAAATTAAAAATGGTCAAAGACTTTCCCGGCAACCTAATGAGATGTGCTTGTCAACGATTCGTGACAAAGTGGCAGTCAGAAGAAAATTTGTTGCAAGATCTAACAAAGTGATACATTCGAAACCAGCACTGCTTTCTGGACAATCTTACATAATTCACGGTGCACCTTGGACGCATGAGGCTTTCACCGGATTTTATGTTCCTCGCAACGATTTTTGAGTGAATGTTCTCCTCAAGATGAAGAGAGAAACACTTTTCAGGGGAGCGAGTTTCTTTTTTCATGAATCATATATTCAAAAAATTTCTCTCTTGCCCTTCGGGAGAGGGGGGGGTCGTACTCTCTCGGTGGCCGGCAGTGGGATTCTTGGTGATATCCTACTGATCATGGATAGTGGTACGAAGGGAAAGAGCAAACGCAGCACAGAAAGTGTATATTATGTAGTGTATATTAGTGCAATTATGCAAAGCCTTCTCCCCGCATAGACGCAGTGATGAAGAGGAAGACATGCAGCATCGTCTGAAAAAAGGGCTCGCACCATGACATGGATAAAGCCACGAAACCACATATGAAACTATTGCCTGTGGAAACATGGATAATAGCCAGCACGTTAGTTTGCGCAAGATGACTGAAACTAGAGCATCTATAAACCACGCTCCCTTCTAAACGAGCTTTCAAATGAGTCAGCGAATCGAGCGGGCGCCCGAGGCGTGGCGCGCACCAAGGCAAGGGATGTAGTGCAAGCGCATGCTCGAAGCTTTCTAGCACATCCTAAATTAAACATAAAATTGGTCTTCCAAGAAGTTACGGGCAGTGAAACCTAAGAAAACTCGCGTTTTCGAGAAAATGGCTTGAAGAATACCCCTCAAAATAAAAAGTAACAACGGGACTAATTTTTGAACTGCTGATCTTTCAGGAACGCTTGGGTGCTCGTTAGAAAGCTTGAAACCTGTAGTTTATTATACCGTGTTCAGCTTCCCAAATGAATGACTTTTGAAGGAAGTTATGATCGTTTGAAGGTAAAAAAGTCGCGGTTCCAAAAAAATAGTAACGCAAACCCAAAAAAGTAACAACGGGACTAATTTTTGAACTACTGATCTTTCAGGAACGCTTGGGTGCTCGTTAGAAAGCTTGAATCCTGTAGTTTATTATACGTGTTCAGCTTCCCAAATGAATGACTTTGAAGGAAGTTATGATCGTTTGAAGGTCAAAAAGTCGCTTTGCACAGAAAAAAGTAACAACGTACTAAATTTTTATTAAATTAACTTTCGAAGAATTTTTACCCATGGTTGGAGAGAGAATAATTTGAATTTTCCAAATCAAATCACTTCGGCGCAGAAGCTCGAATATGAAGGAAGTTATAGCCCTAGAAAGAGGAGTGTAAAAATTGTGTTTCAATTTTATTTTTTGCCTAATAACTTATTCATTCCGAAGTGTTTGAGAACAAATGAGCACTCGTGAGGAAGAAGGAGCCACGTCGATCCAAAATCCACCTGAATCTTCCGAACTACCTGAAATGTAAAAAAACTCCTCGAATTTTCACATTTCCCCGTTCGACGCCTCTTCACCGTGAGCAAATGCGCTCCACCGTCAGGAGGCCAAAGGGACTTACGTAGCAATAAATATTGATGGTAAACACTGTCTCTACACAAGTGTTACATACAAGGGGGGTCGTATCAAATCACCCATGAAGGGGGGGGTCGTAAAAAATTTCCAAAGAGTAACAACGATAGGGTTGACCCTGGTTGCGACCCCCCCCCCAATACAACCAGCCTTCCTCCACCGCGACCTCTCCCTCTTCTATAGTATTTGATTCTGAGACCAGTTGACACAGCCCAAAACCTACCTAAAACTCCGAAACTCCACCCACTTTTTCCCCAAAAAGCCGTCGAGCGGGGGGGGTATATATACCACTGTGAAACGGCAACTTTTTTTCGCACACACATATGCCCTGCGCCACTATCACCAAGGCGCGCAATGCGACCAGTGCGACCCCCCTCCCTTCCCAGACACACAAATGCGACCCCTCCCCGTTCGAACTGTTCGAACGGACGGTTGACCCTGCCTTTGACGCATGAGGCTTCACCGGATTTTATGTTCCTCGCAACGATTTTTGAGTGAATGTTCTCCTCAAGATGAAGAGAGAAACACTTTTCAGGGGAGCGAGTTTCTTTTTTCATGAATCATATATTCAAAAAATTTCTCTCTTGCCCTCGGAAGTGGGGAGCCATAATCTAAAATGTCATTGCAAAACGAAGGATGTAAAAAATTGACTGTTATTAATTCCAGAAGGAAGGCGTGGAGCCGGACTTCCTCTATGCAATGGAGCTTCTTGAGGCTACTGGTGTCTGCGTTGTCCCTGGTTGCGCCTTCGGACAGAAGGAGGACACCTATCATTTCCGGTAACTGATTTTTTTTACTGATTGTGCACTCGTCAACATACTGATCGTCATCTCGCCTCACTGCTGTGATCAAAGGCACGGGTCACAATAGAATCTTTAAAAGAAATGTCTTCCTAGAGATCTTAAATGCAGAACTAGTGCCACCCGAAAGTACGCGAAAAAATTGTGCCAGGCGTATCACTTTAGTCACTGCGATCGTTGCTATTTACTCGTTCACACGGTGCTTGTACAGCGTACAACCCTCCTACTTTCCCACCCCTTGCCCCCTTATCGCTCCCGACCCGTCCACACCCGCGTCCACCACCCAATGATTGGAGAAGTAAAATATCTGCAGAACATGGCCAGCAAAATTTAACCCTTCTCTGAATTTCGCCACATCTCTTGTAACTCAAACATTGTCAACACCACGGTTTCTGAACTAACGACGTTTTTTCGTACTCGACTCTCAACGAACCCTCAAATCCGTACCTCAACACATGACTGATTTTTGCCGCAATCGCGATTAACTGATACTCCGCACCAGGCATTCTTATTGCTTTACTTTTAAAGGAATCTTTCACGGAAAAACCATGACTCCATTTCAGCCATAAATCGTTGGCTTGAGACTCATATCCACCACTAGAATGAAAAAGAACAGAAATATTGCTTTTGTTTTGGTGCAAAATTCGAAAAATCGAAAGGGCTGCTACGCGTTCAAATTGCCCACGGACGTCTTTCACAAATGCTGGCGACGGGGATGCTTCCACTTGGTTCTTGGAGTGCATTCACTAGAAACTCTTTCTGGCCTTCTGCTTTATTGCATTCACATCTTACACTTCTACTCCATCCTATTCCTATCGATCGATTTGTCTCTACTCTCCGAAATCGCGCGCTTCAACCCGATTCTTTCATTGCGTCGCCTGATATGTAGCCGGCCAAAGGCCAACTTCTTTCCATGCCTCGCCTTTGGCTCCGCCAATTATTACCTTCGATGTCCATAGTGTAGTTTTTGGACGTTTGTTTCTCTAGAAAACCGAATCTTCATGCGTGAAACTTTGTGTGCTGTTTCCAGTGATCACAACTGACACATTCATGTCAAAAAAGAATGCAGGAAATTTCCGCGAAGGATTCCTTTAACGTCCGCTTAGCGAATGCATTGGTATCTGCGCCTCCTCTCCTGCTGTTCCCAATCTGTTCTTTCACCTTGGCGCCCAGCATCTGTTCGTCATGCAACTCGTCCACCGTTCGAAAATGGAGACCTCTGTTCCCTGTGTTTCCATCTGTTTGACACCCTTTTTCTTCGCTGACTTTCCATTTTGCACCTCTATTTTCATTTTCGAGCTCGGTAAGCACATCGAGGAGATTGCGGAATGTACCTTTAAATTCTTGTGATTTTCCATCATTTAATGAGGCTATAATAATTTCAGAATGACAATTCTTCCTCATGAAGGTGTCCTCAAAGACATGTTGGATCGAATCCGAGTATTCCATATTGGTTTCATGAAACAATATAAGCAATAATCATTACGTATTTTTTGTGTGTAGTCATGTATCACATTTTGAGTACTAAATCTAGCCCAGGATCGTTAGAATTGATGTTGTAGATTTACGCACTGAACATGATTTCACATTTTGCAACTAACCAGTTTTGCTGCCGATTCGGCTGCACTCTAACCATCAGTGAATGAAAAGTTTATTACCTCCTGATAGTAAGATATTATGCTATATGTGGAGCGAGACCTAACTAATACTAATGAATTTTGATAGCAGGGTTCACGATAAAACTGACTTTCGGCACTTTCTCAAATACAGCAGATGCCAAGTAACTTTGGCGTTGTCTGAAATGGTGTTCTCCACCTGCCTAACTACGGCGCATAAGCTCCGCCCACTTGTTGGTATAGTCGAAGAGCGAGTGATTCATGTAGACATAATTCTTTTGACAACGATCCGTACTGTTCTGATAAAAGCAGCCATGTTAACGTCAGGCTTGAATAGTACGGTCAAAAACTCACGCAGAATCGCGCAGACCCGCCCACACCACAAACTCCGCCCACTACTCACACCATCTGCAGCGGCAAACTACTCTGCATTCGATATTGAAGAAATTAAATACTCAATGGAAGTAATCTCCCACATCGCAGAAATGATCTCCGAAAAACTGTAAAAGTATGGCAGGAACCACGTGTTAGAGAGGGGGGAGGGGGGGGGAAGGCGGGACTCAACCGCCAATCCTATCCAAGGCGACTTCACTAGTTATTGGATTTTATATCTGGCCCTGCCGAGCGATGTCGTCCCTTCGTGTGATGATGTTTACTCTTCACATAGGCGTGGCATGGAAAACGCTCGAAATCCAGGTTTTGCCGGTTTCAGAATCCTTTCTCTATTGGTGCTGCTTGGAATTCTCCGATTCTAGAACTTCTAGGTAAAAAGTAATCTATAAAGCAATCTATCGAGTCACCCAACCATGAACGAACCTTATCCATGTGATCTTCATTTATCTGACTGCACATTTGCTTCA